GGCGTGATTGCTCCTGTGATGATGTGGTAGCTTTGTGATGATGTTTGGCGTCGTCAGCAGTTCTGGGGTTGGCTCGCTTAGCCTGGTGGGGTTGCGGGGGTTCGGGTAAGCCGTGCATGTTGGCCGAATAGTCTGGCCGGGGCAAGGCTGGCATTGTATGGCGAGGTTGGGTTGATGTCAAGCATTGAGGCTCTATTGAACTTCAAACCCAGGAGTGTGGGCAATGTCCGCGTGACATTATCGTCGCAAAGATGTAGCAATTTTATGATGATTTTGGCAACCTGAGGCTTGATCGCTTGTCGTCGGCGCAAGTTGAGACGGTAGAAGTTGATGATTTCTGGTGGCAACGCTTCGGGCTGTCTCTCACGGTTCATGTCTTCCTTGGTTTTTGCACGATACCTCCTTAGGTGGATTTCCGCGCCCATGTTCGGTATTGTCCAGATTGACGGTAGTGACGCTTGAGTCGGAGAGGGAGTTGTGAACCGATTATGGTCTTCTATTGGCGCAGAGATGATCGGGTGAAAAGTTCAATGCTTGCGTGAAAGGACTGTCGGTGCTTGTATGCATTAGTAGAGGTAACAGCGCAAGTAATTTTGGGGAGGCAGCAAATCAATAACCGAGCACTGACTTGGATTCTCCCTGGGTGAACAGCAAGACATGTTCCCATTGATTTGGCATGTTCCTTGCTTTGAGGGTGGTTCACCCACAATGGAAAGGGAGGTAGAGCGACATGGAAGCCTTGGAGAGGGGCGACAGAGTGATGGATTCGGTGGCCAGGAGAGGGAGTGGTGAAGAGGAGGCTGATGGATCGACCTGTAATTCTAAGGTTGTAGGCCCTTGATTCTCCGTATTTTGTCCTCTTTCCCGAGCTTATTCGGAGGATTTTTAGCAAGGGCGCTTGTTCCTCTGCCTTCCGACCTGGCATCTCCTTCCGATGACACTGTTCGAGATTGTGCTGCCAGTATCGACATTTGAGTCTGGTTGCTCATGTTGTCCAAGACATTTGCATTCGCGTCGCAAAGCAATGGTTTGTAACGCGACGTTTTGGACTTGCCGACAGCGGAGGTGGTACCATAGACAAGCGAAGAGTCGGTCCGGAAGACGGCTCAGCTGATAGCTCATCCTTTAGATGGACTGTGTAGATTCCGTTGCTGTTTTGTAGAAATTGTCCGTTCGGATGTTCTGCTTGTTGGTTTGGCATTTGGGAACGCGGGGAAATGGTAGGAAGTTTCTATGGGTTGGAGGTCTGGACTCTGGAGGGAAAATGACAGCCTTAGGTAGAAGGATGACGCGAAATAAATCAAGCAGAGAAGAGGGACAGGAATATTTGTTGCGCACCAAAGGTTGTTGGGCTGGAAATAAAAGGGTAGTCGCGATTGCGGTTCCTGCATGCGCCAGCAGTTACTGCTGCACACTGTAATGGCCTGCCCTTGATTCCGACAAGACGTCATGGAGCCACTTGACCGAACCACATTCGCGGTCCTCTCAAGCATCTCATTGATCAAAATTGAATGCATTATGGTGTTTGATTCTTTCCACTATGTCTCCTATTATCATCGCTATACACTTCGGAAGCGACAGTTTTCAGCATCCAACGGCGTCCTTTGAGATTTTTCCACAACAAGTTTTTCATCTTCCTCAACACAAGGACAAATCCGTTGCGTACAAACATTACAAACAGGGGGGAGAGCCTGGCAGCCAGTGCTCAGCGCGTTGTTTTATACCAGTTGGCACATATGTTTTCATGGCGAGACCCTGAACCGCATCGCGAAGCTGATGATACGAGAGGAATAGCTCGTGAATGTTCGGATGCATTGTTTACCGACTCTCTATCAAAGCATGACAGCGAGAAATCTCCTTCCGATGACAGTCACCCAAGGCGTGGAGAGTTGAGCCAGGATGAACAATGCGGAGGTTTGAATCTCTCTTCATGCAACACACACACAGCCAACCTATGACGAGAGGAAAACCGCCAAGAGCGCGAAGGAAAACATGATCAAGCCAGCGATCACCACACAGAAATGTCCCTTGCTACTCTATGAGCCACAAGACATGGAGACAGTCAGGGTCGCTAATACAGAGAGGTGTTGATGTTCCCACTATCGACCACAGGCATCGAGAAAGCCAGTGTCACGAAGGAAGAGGAATGCTCTCGCCCGTTTCCACCGACAAGCGATGAAAAGGCCAGGTCGGGTCTGGTGGGGTGAAATAGACTACCCAAGGCAAATGAAAGCTCAAGTGAAAGAATGATGACGATATGTTCCTCACTACAGATCACAGACATGGAAAAAGTCCGGGTCATGAAGGCAGAGGTGTTGTTCTCGCCCTATGACCAAACCAGACAAGCCACGGAGAAGGCAAGTCGGGCGGTTTGGCAACGGGCGGATGAAGTCAGCTATCTACTCTACTGAAATGTCCCTCACTACGAGCCAAGGCATGGGAAAGCCAGGGCGTTGAGGCAGAGGTGTTGATCTAGCCCTGAGACCGACAAGCTATGGAAAAAGCAAGTCGGGTGGCAGCGGGCAAAGTCAGCTATCTACTCTACACTACCTACTCTACGCTATCTACTCTACGCTACGGACATGTCCCTCCTTACGAGCCAAGGCATGGAAATCCAAGGCTATAAAGGCAGAGGTGTTGATCTAGCCCTGAGACCGACAAGCTATGGAAAAAGCAAGTCGGGTGGCAGCGGGCAAAGTCAGCTATCTACTTTACGCTATCTACTCTACAGGAATATACCGCATTACGAACCAAGGCATGGGAAAGCCACGGTCTTAAACGTGTTAGCGGCAGCCTTATGAACATTATTGTAGTCCAGTATTGGTCACCGACAAGCCATGGAGAAGGCAAGTCAGTTAGGCAGAGGGCGAAGAAATGACCAAGCCAAAAGTCAAAAAGGAAAGGGAAGGGGAATGTACCGCACTACGAACCAAGGCATGGGAGAAGCCACGGTGTTTGAGCGCCGTCCGGGCAAGGGAGGCTTCTGCGGCGGCCTTACTGACCAGGTACTCTAGTCTCTCCTGCAGCGTTTTGACGAGCCATGGAGAAAGACGTGTCACTCGGCAGACAGTTGAGACATGAGGAACAAAAGAAAAGAGAAAGAGGCTCTGGAGGCGTGGAGGACAATCTTATATATCGCTCGAGTACAGGTCTGTGCACGAGTGCAAACTCCTGTGCACGAGTGCAAACTCCTGGTCACGAGTGCAAACTCTCAACCCGGCGCGGTGGTTCACGTCAGTGGCAGCCGGTATCGTCATCTGTTGCCGTATGGCAGGGAAGGGAAATGGGTGGTTCGCGGGCTGATTGCGCGGCTCGAGGGGGCAGCTGGCCAGCCTGGGTCGAAAATCTCCTGGGCCTTCCCAACTCTCCCCCAGATAGCACACTCCCGCCAGCCTGCCCACTTGGTGACGCGGCGGGAGGGCCTTGGTGAGGCTTCACATGCTAGCTCCGTGCTCGTGATGCTATCCAGACGAGCTGACTACCTCTACTGGACTAGATATCGTGATGGCATGATCTTGACTTCATCTACGAGACTGTGGCTTCACCTGTGACGGTTCTAAGGATTTTCTGATTACCTTAGTATACAATTAACCAAGTGAGGACTTGAGAGCCGCGCAAGCCCAGCCGATGATATTTTGCGATAGAAGCACATATGCTAATCCACACAAGTAACCGCATCCTAAGCATGCCATGGGATTCAACATCTCAGCCTTTTCTCATAAGCATTTATCATGACTTTGTGGCACTGAACCGCAATATCGTTCATCATGCTCCTTACGCGCCATTGCTGTCGCACCTGGAAGGCTTCCCGTGGCGGGGCTCTGTGTGTGAACTCGAATTTTCGTACCTGCCGTCTTCCCTGGGAGTGACGTCCCAGTTCCCCCCCCCACCACTGCCTGGACAGCTCAACCATTTACGACATAACCAGAATGTGTAAAAGAGACAGGCAGAATTTTATTCTCGCCATCTCACATACATCGAAACAAGATGGTTCACCGCGCGAATTGACAGGAAACAACTGAGTGTGTGTCGCATCTCTTTTCCCTACTCTGAGCTTTTTCTCAGTTTTTCCTACACCTCGCCATTTCCCATCTGCCTGGATACTTTACAAGATGCTGACTTCCATGATGTCAGGTACAAAAATTGCGAACATCACAGAGAGAAGTGAATCGCCTCCATAGAACACGACAAATGACGCGACATCACTCGAGAACAGCGAGAGATAGGCTAGAATACTTCGAGGTCTATTGACAATAAACAAGACATCAATTATTGGGCTTTACAAACCTTCAGTTTGTGGGGAGCGAGGTTTTACGACAATGCGACGATCTACGAGTGTCTGGCGAGCATCAAGGCCATGGCGAGCATCTATGATCCAGTAGGCTGCGCGCACTTGGACACATACCTATACTTCTAGGAACCAGCTCAAAATCCCTAATTCAGTCATGAATCATGGAGCAGTTGGCATTTTTGTCTTATTCGGGTTCATTGTCATGCCAGAATGATTGGTCGTCAGGCAAAAGCCACGGAGGACATTCAACTCCCTCGAATGCGGACTTGGAGCGAATTCAAAGAAAACACTTTATTCGGATACTTCAACACGCAGCTTTACAATCCCAACCGACTGCGATGGTAAATTTACGATATCTTCTATCTTTTCCATATCCTACCCAGGAGGCAAAACCGAGCCTTTGCGCTCGATGAGCCACCAACTAAGGTACCTCTACTTGACACGACAAACACTCCAACGTCTGGCGCGCGGGGCGTCACGAAAAGCGAGAATGCCTTCGGCATTTGGCACAGATCGAATGTTTCTGTCTCTCGCAAGAACAAAAAGAAATCCCCAAGAGAACTTGTCCTGCCTCTCAAGGGGCTCGTGTCGAATGGAAGTATGGAGAAGAAATTCGCACTCCAAGAAAGCGTAGGTGCCTAAAAACTGGTGGATTAAACCCTCCTTGACTCCCCTCAACTTGGTTACAAGAGCTCAAGCGCTAACAGCGAGGACCCTAGACACTCCGCAATATTCAACGAACCGATCGAAGAACAAGCAAACAAAGGCCCAGGACCCAACTATCGCACCGAGACGTCATTCAGACCGATGTTTGAGCTTTTGTACAGAACCTTGTTGAAGGTGGGTTTCCACACCGGTATATACCAGCTCGAAAGCCCAAATGCTCAACTCAAAACACGAATACCGCCCCATCGCCCCGAGTAGGTGTTCTCGAATCGTTCATCACCATCTTCACGACGTTCCCATAGGTAGCGAGACCCGAATGCAAGCTGATTGAAATCAACGCCCGTCTCCCCGGCTACCACATTTTCTATCCCCTCGCGCGACACCTACGGCGTCAATTACTTCGCCATCCGCATGCTCATCGCGTAAACATGGGAGGGATCCTGGGATTTGGAAGAGGAGGAGGAAGCGGACGAAGGTATTGCGGCCGGCAGAGTGGAAGAAAAGCGATGTTCCGAGCTGGAGCGCCTGGGATATGAAGCTGTGGGAATGTTTGGACAGCGGCCAGCGCGGAGGCCTTTCCTGTAGGTGGCTCTTTTGCGGCGTATGAGGCACTAGTTGTGTGCTGGCAGATTAGTTTTAGAGGCCGAATTCGAAGTAGTCAAAGGGAGAATCACAACTTCAAAGCCACAGCAGTCAAAAGTCAAGAAAAATGTGATGCGCGCAGTTATTTCGGTGGGCAAGAGCATTGCCCACCTTGGTTTTCATTTCGAACTTGTGGTAGTCCCCCTCTCAGCAGCCAGTGGCCCAGCCGAGAACCCAACGAGCCACGCGTAGAAAGCTCCTCTCCTCCCGATCGTCCCCCCATCCCCACCCTTCGACACCGAGCACCCCAGCTTCCTCCCCCTCCTCCTCTCTCCTCCTCTCGAGTCTTCTGGCGGCCGGCGTTGGTGGTGGTGTCGTAGGCGTTTGGGTGGCGTAGGCTACAGCTCGCCGCCAACCCTGGAGCTCGCGCTACCGAGGCGGCTGTAGCCCAGCCAGGCCGGTGTTGTCACAAGGACATTTGCCCATAGTTCTAGGTTAGGGTTGCCGAGGCTTAGCAGAGTCTCAATGCCTGACATCAGCCTTATGAATGTCCGGCGGTCGTAGGTCGCGAGGCTCAACCTCACTTTGACCAGACCCTCAGCCACCGGCATTGCTTACCTAAGCCCCTCTCGACGCCATCAGGCTAGCGAGCCAACCATCGAACTGCCGACAACGCTAGTAAGCGAGATGAGGCAATCCCCAGTCATCACAGAAGCGATCACAGCAACCGAGCAAGAAGCAGAGCGACCGAACGGGGACGGGCGCCAGAAGAAGGAAGTAGAATGGTTGAAGGCACTCAGGAAGATCCACATGTATGAAGATCACTATATAGATACCCTGAGGCCTCAAGCAACAAGGCTCGGTACGTACCTCAGTACGCACCAAACCTCTTTGTATAAGAAGGCCTGGGAACTCGGCCCTCGTCTTGAGGGTTGAAAGGATCAACAAGGCCTTCGAGACCATAGTTAATTATCAGCTGAATTGAACCACGGTTCCAAGCCCATACTCTGCCCTTGTCACAGGTGTCCAGGCGGGAAAGAGATGCCTGTCGCCGCGGTGGCGGCGAAGCCAGGCCCAGCGTGCCCAGGGCCGGTCGGTGGTGTTGGGTTGTGGTGTTGTAGTAGGTATTAGTTGATGGTTCTGAAATTGAAGCTGATCTGAGCGAAGATTAGATCAAGGTGGAAGTGAACTTACGCCCGGGTTGTCATGGAAGTCGGCCAAGAGGCCGACCATGTTGTCGTCGACAGGGACGACAGTGGCCTTCTTCCTCTTGGGCCAAGCAAACTTGACCTTCCTCTTGGCCTTGAAGGCCAAGCGCCTGATGGTGGTGCCACTGGTGGTGGACTTCTTCTTTTTCTTCTCGCCGAAGGCAAGGAGACCCTCCCCGGGAATGATGAAGGCCTCCTTGACCTTCGCGGACAGCTTCTTGGCTGCGGAAAACATGTTGGCCTGATCAGGTGAGAAGGATGTTAGAGATCATAATGTTTTTGAAGGAGTTGGAACGCGTCGTGGGTTGGATGTACTGGTCTGTACACTTACGGCAGGGAACTGGTGGAGGGAAAAAGAAAATACTAGTGGTGTGTTACGATCCAATCAGAGAATCCTATGTAGGCTAGACTAGATGACCAATCAGGTAGAACCCGAAGGGAGGACCCAAAGGGAGGACCCGAGACGAAGGATCGGGTCCAGGAAGGCCGGTATAAAAGAAGGCCTCCCCAGGCCTCTTGTTACCGGATCTTCAGCAAGCAATAGCTACCACAACCTACCAGTACCTTTTGGCTACTACTCCGTTACTCTATTGTTCTATCCCAGCGATAATACTCCTGTGCTTGTAACGGTTCGTCACATGGTGGGTTCTTGTGGGTAAGGGCTTTTATCGTCGTGGTCTTGGTCGTGTGAAGAAAAGAAAAAGTGTGTGAGCTCGACGATACTATCTCGAAAGATGAAGAGGAAGGAAAGAAAAGAAGCTTGAGAAAACAAAAATCTCGGGAGATTAAATAGATGATCTCATGGATCATACCTCATATCATGATAGCTTCCACATTCTCATTCCATCTGAAGAAAAGACAGATAAAAGTCCTCGAGAGAAACCAGCGCGTTAATTCATCCTATACCAGATGTCTTTCCTTCCATATTCTCAGACGGTTTGCTTTCTCCGTCAACTCTACATTTCTTCCCTTTGAAGATTTTATCTGAACTTTTCAACACTTGCCTTGAAGTCCGTATGTACCAAACTGTGTGATGAAAGGATCTTTGCAAAGGTTCTGCCGTCTACTTCCAATTTCTCCAAACTCCTCCGATGAATGGCAGCGGGAATACAGAGTGCTCGGTTCGGGGCTGGCAATAGAGCGCAGAGGTTGTTCGCCAAACCGGGAGTGTACAACGCTGAAGACTCCAACTACTACCTCTGATGATCATGAAAACCTGGAACGAGATGAGCTATCGAAGTGGATTAGCAAACCAAAATGGCCAAGACAGGACCACATGTTGTGGTGGGGTCTGTCCCACCTCCATTCACTGACATTGTCATGTGGGCCCACCAGCCCGCACCACCATGTATTTAGCCCTCCACATTTTCTTTTCCTTTCTTGTCTTCCTAGTTTAACACAATCAACACACTTCTTGTACCCACAAACCCCAAGACCACACGGGGTGGAATGGACAAACGAGAAATCTTCGAACCGACTTGGACACTGAGCCCTTGATGCCTCTGAACTCACCAAACTGCTGGAAGACGACGACGACGATGATGATGTGGCCTTGCAAATTTCACCGTCCCTTCATCCCGAACGGGAATATCGACCTCAACAGAGGGTTGCTGAAACTCCTGAAGAGAAGGCAGGACGTAAAAGGCATCTTGAAGTTACCTCTACCGACTCAGGGCTCCAATGGGCACCAGGCTTCCTCGATATGCTAGACCCCCAGCATGCACCAACCTCAAATGCAATAGCATCTCTACCAGATTTATCAACCGTTCCGGTGAGTGCCGCGTCGCTGTCCACTACGCGCCATCCACAGAGCCACTCGGGCAAGCAGCAGCAGGACCAGCTAGTTTCCGCCATAGAGGAACTTGACCCGGTCATACAGGCAGCCGACAATATAACCATTGTGACAAGGGCATTGTTCTGGGCTTGGAACAGTAGT